AAGGTTGTGCTTACACACACATACCCAGATAGCAAGAGTGAAGGGGCACAGGCATTTGCACACGGCCACGCCTTCATTCACAAGCAGTAACTCTGCAAATCAAACGGAAGAGGGCCTCAAGGAACGACAGAAAAAGGAAGGTGTTTTGAGTCTGCTGCAGAGCGCATTACTGGCAGATAACACTACGCTGGACAACTACCGCACGAAGCAGCCGCAGCGTATTTGTGGATACAGCTTCACGCCTTCTTACTTATTCCTCCTTCCACAGGCCGTTTGCTTTTCTCTTTTCTGTAACTTTTCAACGGCGTGCGTTTCTGCAACGTTTCCGTTAATAGAACCCTCGACGTGCCCACATCCTTGCCTGAAAACTCTCATAAGACCGCGGGCAGCCCATACGCGTTAAGGAATCGGTCTCCGTCAAGCAAAAACAGACACAAAAACAAAAAAAAAATCGACAACAGCAGCGATAGAAAAGACCTTAAGCAGCAACAACAAGCGCGGAAGGGCNCAGACACAAAAACAAAAAAAAAATCGACAACAGCAGCGATAGAAAAGACCTTAAGCAGCAACAACAAGCGCGGAAGGGCACTGAGAGGACTGCGGCTGCGTATACACGTGGTTTGTGAGGTGCTTTAGTGAGTTTGGACGAGAGCTCTGTGTGAATGAGCAAGGCGGCCGTCTCACGCCCGCGCGTGTATGTGCGCATTCGCCCCCTCAATGACCGCGAGAAGCGGGAGGGCAACGGCGAGCTCATCTGCCGCGGCGACCCGCGCGTGCAGGACACACTCTTCATCAAGAAGGAGGAGGGTGGGCAGGAGCTACAGACACGCTTCGACCGCGTCTTCGACCGTGACACGATGCAGTCGCTTGTGTTCGACACCATCGGACCGGAGGTGATTGACACGCTCTTCAGCGGCTACAACGCCTCCGTCTTCGCATACGGGCAGACTGGCAGCGGTAAGACCTACACGATGGAGGGCAACCGCGCCAAGGAGGAGGGGTGGGGACTCACGCCGCGGCTCATCCGCGCCGTGTTCGAGCGGTTCGCTGCAAACAAAGACATCACCGACAGTGTGTGCGAGGTGAGTCTGGTGCAGATATACCAGGAGAAGATACAGGACCTGCTGGCGGGGCAGAAGCAGCTGGAAATTCACATGGATCGTACAGGACAGTATGTTGCGCGTGACGCCACGTGGCTCCGGGTGCGGAGCCTTGAAGAGAGCATGCGCCTGTACTCACGAGCGGCGGAGATGCGTGCGACGTCGGCTACAGAAATGAACCTCGTCTCTTCGCGCAGCCACATGATTATGATGGTGAAGTTGCAATGGGACGAGCCCTCGCTACCGGGCTCACGGGCGCAGCTCAACCTTGTCGATTTGGCAGGGTCCGAGCGGCTGGCGCAGTCCGGCGCCACAGGCGATGTTATGTGGGAGGCAATTCACATCAACAAGTCGCTCAGTGCTCTTGGAAATGTTGTGTCAAAGTTGGTGGAGCAGGCAAAACACAAAGGCCGCCGAATCCACATCCCGTACAAGGACAGCAAACTCACCTACCTGCTGCAGTCAAGTCTGGGTGGATCCAATCTCATTCATTTCATATTGGCAGTGTCATGCAGTGCTCTCTGGCGTGGGGAGACGAACTCGACGATTGAGTTTGGTAAGCGGGCTCTTCAGCTGGTGCTGCGTCCGGTCCGAAACGCTATTGATTACACGCGTCTGGCAGAAATGGAGGAGATGATTGAGCGCATGCGCTCGCACATCGCTACTTTAGAGGAGGAACTCCGCGACAAGCGAAGCAACGAGGCTGCAGAGTTTCTCAAACTCAAACAAATTCCACAATACGGCGAAGAGACGAACTTGCGCCATCTCGCACGTCAGAATCGGAGTCGACAAAAGAAGAAGCTTAAGATGCAGACGGAACTTGCCCGAATCATGGCTAACCTGCCAGAGACCTTTGATGACTTGACATCGCACTGCGTTCTTTTCCCAGAGTCCAAGGCAAGTTTCCGAGAGCTTGGTGGACTGCAGCGTCTCGTGCACTTTGTGGACCGCTCCGCCTCCACTTTCTATCGCTCCAATGCAGCGCAGACGATCGCTAGTGTCTTAGACGATGGTGGTCGTGAGATGCTCCTCGAGATTGGCGGTCTAGATGCATTAACGCGGCTGCTGCAGGTGAAGGAGGAACGCTGTAAAGAGGCTGCCTGTGTGGCGCTTGAGGCCGCTTGTCGTGGATGCCTAAAGAACAAGAAGGAGCTCCTACCAATCGTGTATGCAGAGTTGGTGGAACTCATCTACATCTATCCGAATCAGCAGGTGCAGGAGGCAGCATGTACGGCAGTGGCTGCTATTGTCGATTTGTACCCCGATGCACGACGTGCCTTTGAGCGGCTTGACATTGTGCCGAAGCTCCTCGAGACGATCCGTAACACCCCAGAAGAGGTGGTTAACCTCACGAAATCAGCGACGAACTGTCTCGGTCGTTTGTCCAGTGGTGATCCTGAGATGCAGCACGTGATTGCCTCATTTGGTGGTATTGACTTGCTCATTGATGTACTGTTTAGCCCAGCAGGGACACGCGACCATCAGGTGCCTATCCTCGCCTCCTACGCCCTCGTGAACCTGTGCTGCAGCAACGAGCAGAATCTTGATATCGCGCAGGACCACCCACGTTATGGTGAGGTGAAGTTCCGTCTGTTGGAGGGGCTTGCGCGGGCATTTGGTATCAACACTGCACGTGAAGGATACGGCCGCGCTACTGCACATGAGACGGAGTCACCATTTCCATACTCCGGCGTCACTATTGTGGACAAGTGGTCTGCCACATCGTCAGGTGGTCGCCCAATTTTCTCCACCTTCATGGACAACCCGCAGTTCTACCTGTATGTGAACAAGACGACTGACATTGCCTTTATGATACAGGATGTGCTCTACGAATCTCGCATGCTCAAGAAGAAGAAGAATAACACAGTGTACATGGGCCTTGCACTATTTGAAGGTGACCCTGAGCTTGCAAAGGCGGGCCTTAAGCAGCTTGATTTCCACGGTCGTATGGTTGAGATTGGGAAGTATACCTCCAACTGCGAGAATGTCCTCCACTGCACACTGCAACCAAGTGAGACACCGTATGTGGTGGTACCTTTTACGAGCCAGCGTGGCCGCCAGACGGAGTTTGCCTTGTCTGCATTCGCTGACAAACCCATTGAGTTAACTGCTGTGCCTGAGCAGGTTGGTTGGGTACGCACTGTGTTGGATGGATGTTGGACGGAGTTTACAGGTCGTGGTGGCGATGGGTTTGACTGGCGCTGCAATTCGCAGATTCGTCTACAACCCAAGGAGAATTGTCGTGCAGTTTTTGTCCTTTCATACCTCTCCCTCGACCGGCAGCGTGCGCACTCGCGTGATGAGGAGGGGGAGGAGCAGAACATGCGACCGCGTCTACACGGTCGGCTCTTCACCAACTTTGCTGCAGAGAAGCGATACCTCAAGGCCCTTGTTCCACTGCCACAAAAGTCCACCTTTGTCGCCAGCAACAGTTTCGCCAGCAATAGCTACATTACTACATCTGCTAACCTCAAGGCGGGGGAGCCGTATGTGTATATTCCCTTCACCGAGACTCCGTTCCAGGACAGCTGGCGGCTTTCTGTGTACTGCGACACAGATGAAGTTGATATTGCACCGATTGAGGGGAGCAAGGCGGAGTGGCACTGCACCACTTCTGCTGGTACATGGGCGGGGAAGCCGATCGCGGTGCAGATAGACACCAAAGGCAAGATGGTGGCAGTTGCTAGCAGCCCTGGTGTCTTCTTGCGTGTGCGACTGCTCAACGTGAAGGGAAAGAAGTTGGAGGGTATTGATGCCTACTGGAACTCCGAGGCGTCGGTGGAATACAAGAGCCAAGGCCCCGTCACTGTTCAGGTGGAGGGGATGATGCGCATCGAAAAGGGTCAAGAGGTGGCACACGGCATGAGGTTCGATGTGTTCATTTTTACGGAGAACAAGTGTACGGTTCAGCATGTTGACTTCCCCGCCGCCCCCAGCAGCCTGCCTCACCCGTCGAAGAGCACGCCGGTAGAACTACTCAACTACCCCGTTGAAGTTGTAGATGCAGACGCGCCGTTTGCTACGCTTGATCAGAGCGACGACGAGGATGAAGAGGTTTACGAAGATGATGATGTGATGGAACGTGAGGCGGATCTGGCGCAGACGCTCGAAACGCGCAATCAGGAGAACGCACAGCTGCTGAACCGCATCGTCGAGCAGCAGCGCGAGCTGGCGGAACTCCGGCAGCTGCGCGAAACCAACCCCTTGCCCACGGTTCCGTCAGCGGAGGCGAGCATGAAAGAGTCCAGCAACGGGAGACGACGAGTGGGAGACACGCCGCCGCAGCAGCAGCAGCAAACGCGCAAGCAAACCGGGAAGAAGGGGGCCCGGGCTTCCAGCTCGAAGGGCATTGCGCCAGAGCCGCCGCTGCCGCCGAGCGTGACGAATTCCGCGCGCCGTGAGAGCAACGCGGCGACGCGGACGATGCAGGAGGTGGTGGAGTACTCGCTGCTCACGCTCAACAGTCTCGAGCGGCGCACTGCCCCACCAACGCCGGAGGAATGGGAGGAGCTGCAGAACGAATTGAGAGATCTCCAGCGGCGGCTCTTCCTTGCGCTCGAAGTCAACTCGACATCTTCAGCCGGAGTGGCGTAGAGACCACACAGGCACGCACAAGAAGAGAGAGAGGGGAATAGAGTGGTGGCGAGAAATTGCGAGGAGAATGAAAACAAGGAAGTGTAAAAGGTGATGGGAGCACGTATGTGTGGGTGAATGTAGATCAACAAAAAACAAACCCCATAATGAAGAGATGTGGTCCGAGAGGCTATAGGCGTAACGAGTTAAATGAATACGCTCCTCTTCTCGTTCTTTTATCCCGACATCAACGGCTACCACATGTGTTCTTTTTCTTTGCTACTTGTAGACAATGCGATGTACACTTTATATAT